AAAATAAATTAAATGAAAATTGTTTCTTAAAAACATAACTAAGATAGACCTACAATCAACATTATAAAACATAGTCATTCCATCTAATTAGTTAATCTATAAACTCAATTTTAGTGACTGACCGATCAGATTGCTGGTATATTGGTTCGTTTTCTAAGAACCTGGAACCAAAACAACATTTGCTCATAGATTTATATTAAAATTAGACTCTACAAACTTGAGATTGACGACAAACACGTTTTAATGACTACGATCTTTCTTATAGCTCCACTTTGTTAAATATTTAGCTCAAACGTTACAATAAGTTTATCTCAATTTAACTTGTAAAACAAAATTATATACTGTGGGTATATATTGATGGAGTATTTTAATACTTATATTATTGTATTATATAAATCTTATAAAGCACGAAATGAAGGTTACTCTACAACTGATTGAACGATTAAACGTTAAACAGATATAAATGAAAAATAATACAGAGTTAATATCTGAGAGGAATAGATCGATATATTCAAGATCCAATTTAAATATTTATTTCAGGTAAAATGGCGACAGAAAACACAGAAGATTTAAATGCAACAAGAGGCTCAGATAATTTACAACCAGTTTCTCTACCACTTGGTAAGAATATCCAATAGTTCACCTCAGAGCTAATTTACCATCAAATAATTGAGTCTTAAAAACATGAAAGAAACAACTTTATGTTACAATGATAACAACTTAGGTTCATAAGGATTCTTAATACCAGCTGGTCACAAATATCTGGGCAATGATCTTTCCCGAATAAGCCGTACCAATGTACTAGGTCGAATGGAATTTTGAGTGAAAATGATTTGTCATTCAAGCCATCGTACTATCACACGCCTATAGAGATAAAGCAATAATTTCAATATAGTTATTCTATTAGTAAATAGGAAGAGTCCAAGCATTCTGTTCATTTTCCTATAACAGTGAATTTATATTATTTCAGATATAGCTATTGCTCGAGCTTTGCAGAAAGTTACGATCGCTTCCTACATGTTGGAAAAGGCCAATCATTTCATTTCATCCTCCATTTCAGATCCATCATTTCATTTAGATTCAAACTCATCATTTTCATTTCTCATTTCATTGTACAACCTCTTGGAGGAAGCGGGTGACGACTTGAATAGCCCGTTCAAAGTTATCACCAACACTGGTATGTAATTTATTTAGTCATCCCCATCCAAATCACTATCATCAACGTCATCATCATTACCATGTACCATTCATCATCCAGATTAGCCATTCTCGATATACCGTCAGCATCATTTGCTTACCTCCTACTTGTCGTGAATTTGGTATTTATCCTCATCACGATCATGATCCATTTGTCATCTTTATCCCCTTTGTATATATAACCTCCACCTCTGAGCAGTTCTTCCATGCAATGTACTCTAATGATAATTTCAATTCATTTAATATAATAGAATAGAATATATATTATACTTTGTTTTATTTGAGATTAATCGAAAAATGTTAGTATTTTGATTGTTGTAATTTTTCAGAAACATTGGAAACAAATGATTTAGACAACCAACCATCAGTTCCTATATTAGATGGTAGGTAAATTTTTATTAAGGTACTGGAAGGTAATTTGTATGGATTTCATTGTATAATATTAGAATGGGAAGCAGAATGAGGTCATTACAGATTGTTACATAACCACCTGATTCTGATTATGAAAAGTTAAAATTATACTCTATTCTTTACAAGAAAACCCCAAATCTTCAACATCATATGTGCTTTAAGTGAAATCAATTAATATTTCTTACCCATTACCCATTACATATTCTATTTCAGATCCTGCCATTATCAAAACCCTTCAAAGGTTAGGGGCCGTTTCCTCTTTATTGTATAAGGCACTACATTTTATTCATCCGAAGATCATCTCACCAGCACCATTTCGACTTAGTACCAGTACCTCATCAACATTCATTGAAACTTTAAAAAAGAAGGTGGAGGAAGCGGGCAGAATATTAACAAAACGGTTACAAGAATTAACTGGTGAGTTGATACTTTAACATGTCTAGAAAAATGAACGATTCACACCTTCTGAGGGAATTTAATTTAATACTTGAAAAGCCTTTTTAATATGATTTTGAATTTTCCAGAAACTATTATCTTACTATTTAAAAAAAACCCACTCATGGTGTTGTTAACATTCCTTTAATTATGTCCATATTCTTATCTTATGACTTCTTCATTTTACAGTCACTGAATCACCATCAAGATGGAAAAGGTTCAAGAGAAGTTGGTCTCGATTTAGAAAATCATTCACCCGGCCATTTGGATCTTGCTGTGGGAGAAACACCCTGAATTAAAAATGAATGATATATTGTGGTTCTGGCTCAAGAATTTTCTTTTAAACTATTTTGTTTATCAGAATTATTTTCATAATAGTACACGAATATAACTATTATTTTGGAGGAGAAAATACGTAGTGACCTCACTATTTACATTTTGTATTCAAATGATTTATAGATATTGAATAGGTAATTGGATATGTAACTTGTTGGTCTTCGTGGAATACTTTGTAATATCAAATAATTGAGTTTTAGATTTTGTATCCTGGATAAAGTATTTCCACAAATCATAGCCAGGTTACAATAAAACAAATATTATTATTTAATGTCAAGATCTTTAAGATATTAATTGTGAATAGTAATTGTTTCATGATAACATAACCAAGCAGCTGTACTCGGTCTCAAATCTTTGTACCACAAACTAATCATGTACCACAAACTAAACATGATCCACAAATTAAATAAAATTGTTTTATATGCAACTTTTAGTGATTTATAACCTTACTGTTATCAAGTTACTGATATAGTTGACAGAGTACAAAAGCTCGAGCAAAAACAAAAAATAGTTTTAGCACCACCAGACTGGACCTATAGGGATTTCGGCCTTAGGATTTGATTGAAAACCCCAAGAAGAATAGAGTGGAATTGTAATGATTATAGTTGATGAATGATAAATAATGTTGAATTGTGAATGCTGATAAATGATGGATGATGAATAATGTTGAATTATGAATGCTGATAATTATCAATGGCCACGTTGATAATTGATTAGAATGAATGAATGAATGAAAAAGATCCAGCAGAACATTTTACATATTAGATTGGGCGAATTGTAAATAGGTACGTATTATCATATCAGCATAGTTCATGCATTATCATATCATAGTTAATGCATTTAACTATCAGCATTATCATATCATAGTTAATGCATTTAACTATCAGCATTATTATATCAGCATAATTAATGCATTATCATATCAGTATTAACAATGTATTATTATAACAGTATTATCAATGCATTATCATATCATCATAGTTAATGCATTAAAATGTAAGTATTATCAATACATTATCATATCAATATAGTCAAAGCATTATCATATGGTCAAAGCATTATCATATGGTCAAAGTATTATCATTGCACAGTTACTCCACAATGTCACAACACAGTCGTCCATATTATATTTTGATTAAGTCAGGAGCGATAACTGTGGGTAATCTTTACTAAATGTTATGAAATACATGCATTTACTAACAAATCAAAAACAACAGACCTTTGTTTTAATCCGTTACATTTTGAAATCAAATTCCTGGTTATGTTATATAAAAAAATACCTCGTTTTTAACTTTTATATATAATTAGAATCGCATAATTCGATTTAAAAGCGAAATTTATTTTTTCATTTGTAAATATGTTGAAAATGAATAATTATTATCGTAAATATCATCCCAGTAGGCATAATACCGAAAACAATAATGTTTATATATCATCATACAGATTAGTCTACCCCACAATCGCTATCAATAAATAGGAAACTGATCTTCACAATGTCAAGCTATCACGACCAATAAGAAAATGAAATGAAATAAATTGAGTTTTACGTCCTACAGTTCTGCACCATGTGGGCTAATGAAGACGGGCAACGCCATGCAGGGTGCATCGAGGAAAATTGTGCCAGACAGCCTGCTCTCTTTCGATTCCCAACTGTCGAGGGGTTTTTAACGTGCACAGCCTGTAGCACAAGGGGCCTCGGTTTATTGTCCCATCCGAATGACTAGAAGCTTTTTCCATGTAACGACCAATCAGAGTCCCGACAGAAACAATAAGCTACAATGTCTACTGTCTTTCTGTTGAGAGCTTTGATTGGCTGTAAAGATCCAATCCAATCAAATCAAATTCCGTGATACAAGAAAGATGCAGTCACGTAATCGTAATAGCTTAACATTGTGAATATGGAATCTGACGAAAAATAAAGGCTTTTAGGTCAAATCTTAAACATGAATACTCGTTGAGAGGTAAACAAGAATATCCTTGTTTCTTTACAACTTGATAATTTATCTTATTAAAGTTAAATACCATGTCAAGATTATTTTCCCCTTTTGTCAGTTTTCGTTTTCTAAAATTACTTCTTATTTTTTGTATGCTCTATCAAAAGATAAAAGCTTATTCTCCATTTAAAACTTTACAACGGGAATATTTTGATTTAAAACTTGTTTTTTGACATGCATTTGCCAAGTTAGTGGTTTTTTTTCTATTTTTTTTTTTTTAATATAACAAATCCCTATTTTTCCGACTTTTTGTCAGCGACACAGTTTAAAACTGTGGTGTTAAAAGAAAGTAGTCTTCTATATTTTCTTTATTATCAAAAGTATTACGACCCTTACCTCGCTGCCCCAACTTCCTATAGAAATGATGTCCAGTAGTGCCAATACGGTGTTTTCACATAGCCTTCTATTGATTTACTCCCGATACCACATAATACATATCTGATTTCCCATTTCCCATCCACGACACTTTTTACAAAATCATGCACAAAATGATTCGCTACTTTCGCCGTACTTTGACGTATATAGGCGTGTTTCAGCATGCTTTTAACTTATACAAGACGTTAATACTAATGCCAACGTATTCGTCAAACGTTGTAAGTTATCAATAAGCCATGTATATGCCTAAATCTAAACACATCGATAGTTCACCGCATGCCCGTGTGACAGGGCTTCAATATTTATATTCAATGTAAAGCAAACTACAAATTAAATCACAATTCAAAAAACAAAAATAGAAACAACGAATCAAAGATAAGGAACAAAATTTATAAAAGCAAAGAAAAAAGAAAGAAAATAAAAATCTAGTGAATCCAATGAAGTTTATGTTTTCACGCTTAAATTTGGCCTTGATATCACTATATTTTGTGATAAAACTATTTCATCTATAGTAAAAAATAAAGTTAACCACTTACCTATGTCTTTGTACAGCCATTTGTGAGAATAGGAAGACGTACAAGCCATCGGATAGGCAAATAAAGGGCTTCCCAAATCTGTGATAGCCAAGGAAACGATGAAATAATCAGTGAACATAAGTCTGGATCGATGTTGATACAAAACAAATAAAATCAGAGAGTTCATCAATATAGACGTACAAACTGAAAATATAAAAACATTTAAAGTGAAAGTATGTGAAGATATACAATGTATATCATTAAATGACTCCATTTAAAATGTTATGACGATAACTTTAATCAAAATTCCTGATTTTTCGAACCTGCTGCTAAAAGAAATTAATTCTTATTACTGACTGTGCGAAATTGTCTGTAAAAATTGCTAAGTGCTGCGAATGTACATTATCGATATTACGATTGTATGCATTGAACATCCGATATTTCTTACGATTGTTAGAAGGGATGGGGGGGGGGGGGGATACTGAAGGGGGATAATAGAAAGAAAATGGTTGAAAATCCCTGGGTTAGTCTGTATAATTACTAATATTAGTAAATAGAAGGGTTATTAGGGTCATCATTAGTTCAGGATAATACGCCACTGTCACAGACGTTATCCAGCATAATTAAATAGTTTACACTGGACAGACTTAATTATTGACATCTGTTGTTTGTCTTTTTAATGTCTGTATTTCTCAATACATATCAGAAGTACAGAAAATACCCAAGAAACAAAAATATCAAGACATGTATCTTTTATACAGTCCATGTGACGCAAGGTTGATATTATAAGCAAAAATGGACCATTTTTGTTCTACTATTACACTTTAAGGTGATGCTTGGTGTTTCTATGAGCAAATAATAGTACAACTTTGCACCCCCTCTCGAACGTAATCCAGAATTAAGTAATGTTTTTGGTGTTACTATAAGCCAAATTATAGAACAAAAAGGCACCACGATGTGGAATGAATATTAATCTAAGTATATATGATATTTGACGTTCCTATAAGCAAATAATAGTGCAACATTGCCTTCCACTCCAGAATGTAATCCAGAATAAGGACTAGTGATGCTTGGGTTTTTCATAGGCAATAATAATGCACCACTGAAATATAGAGTGAGCCGAGGATCAAATTCTATTAACATCTGGTTCAAATTCAATTTCGATGAATTTAAAGAAATCGAAATGACTTACCAATAAATGCTATATATGTACCAACAACAAAATCTTCCCAATGACTCAAAGCAGAGGTTCCCCAAGTATCGTCAATGAGTCTGGATACATTACATGAAGTGTGAACATCGCTGGTAAAATTAGTCATATTACATATTCCCATAATCTTTATACTCCACTGAAAAATATCATCCAATTATACACAATTATAAAAATATTGCCAATTCTTTCACAAGACTATATTTAAAGTTTATATATTTTGTTTTCCCGGCTATCTTTCAGCTATCTGTAACGTTACTCAGAAAGAACATCTACAATTAAGGCAAAACATATCGGATGAAACGACGACAGTATAAGTATGCAGATCGTCCTTATTATATTCTCAAAAGAAATATGTAGCTGTGTAATTTGGTTAGATTACCTGTGAAACTATAGTTTCAAATAGTCAAATAAGCGAAAAGGTCACACTGATGTTTGGATTCAAGAGCAATAGTAATGATTTAATATAATTTATACTCATACAATTTTTTCTAATTAGTTGGTTTATACGGATTAGGGTAGATAAAATTCTACTAATGAGCCGTTATTTTTTATTTATTTTCATTCTATTAATTTTATTATACATTTACACAACATTACAAGCCAACAAGACGGGAGACAGCATCTCCATACTACATCATTGTCTTATTGCTATTGTAAAGACAGACTTCCAGACGGCCCAGTTCATGCTTCAATTGGTGACACTGTATCTTCCTATGGCGTTTCTTACCACTAGACTGGAGCTGACTGATGGTCACTTCTGTCATTGCTTGATCAGTTTTATCTGAGTGATGAATCTGGAGATGTTCGGATGGTTGGTGGTCATTTTGTTCATTCTTGTGCTCCACCCCTCAACATGATTCGTGGTTCGTGGACCTACAGTGTGAAAATGGTTCCACAAATGTATGTCTTCTCCTTCAACCCACTGCTCGGTTAAATAGTCAGCAAACTTTGTAACTTAGTGATCTTCCATGTTAGCAGCTTCAAAGGCATTGGACCAGTAATCTTCGATATGTTCAGGTCTAAGTAGAGGTAGAGCAGAATAAGTTCACATCTGGCACTTTGCAAACCACACTTTTGGACATTGCGCCAAACTGCCCGTCGATAGCGAAAGAGACATCCTTTCAGTTCACAGTCATAAACATGTACTACATGTACGTCATTCTGAACAGCTTTCTCAAAGTCAGTGAAAATGGTCATGGTGCAGGTTGCGGAGGATGTTGACGAAGCGCTGATACGTTGATTGTTTCTTGTTGGGAAGCGGGGCATACACTAAAGTTAAGATTTGTCCTTCAACAAGAGCGTGAACAGAATAAAGTTTGTGGAACACTTCTGAAACTGCACTCAACGTACCATCACAAAACAAGATGTCGAAAGTTTTCGGTTGTTGAGAAAATAAGCATATCGTCATCTTGGTGTATCAGGATGTCTTCCCTCCAAGAAATATCAAATAAAAAGTGATTAAGAAAAATCTTGATTCACACACAAAAACATCTGATGCCAGCAATACCTTGGACTTGATATTTCAATCCATACAACATACATTGTTGCCAGATTGCGATTCTTTGGTGGCGTCACAAATTTCACATTGATTTAGAAGTACACCCTGAATGTTCAATAATTTTTTATCTCGGCTCTCAAGAACTTATAACTTAAGTTGTTTACTCCAGTCTATATTCCTTGCAAATGGATTTGAAAATCTTAGTTTGTGATTAAGGCCAAACTATGATATTTTCATGGAGTTGGTTCAACAGAATTCGTTCCATCTGTTTCGTACACAGAGGTCAAGGAAAGTAACAGCCTATTCGCCGGGTTTGTACTTTAGCAAGATCTCATCAGTATATTCGTCTTATATATACCATACATATCACACAAGAGCAAGAAATTGTCAATAATGCTAGTTACATCAATTTTACAGCGATACCAAACCATGTCATTTTGATAACTTCATTGCATGCAAAGAAAGTGCGTAACGACGACTAACCTGTGAACTGACGGAGTCGATAATATTCTTTTACGAGTTTGAAACTAATTGATTACACGTAAATATATCAGTTTTTCGAGAATAGACAAGAGGTAACACCCTCAATAGCCATTAATATCCACACTACGTGAATGTCAAGTAAGTTCGAAAAGCCCATTTTCTGGACAGATACATTTTTTAATTCAGCAGCTGAATTTAAAATTATGAATTTTGGGATGTTATCGACACACACGCACCTTGTTATATGTTTTATCATATTGGTGTACCTGTTCACGGTATATGTACCAAAATGAGTATCAGTTTGCAATATGGAGTGAATACAGTATATTGTTCATCTAGGTCACCGGTTTACAACATGGGAACAATATTTGTTTATCAGTTTACAATATGGAAGTAATATTTGTTGACCTGTGTTATCAGTTTACAACATGGGAACAATATTTGTTGACCTATGTTATCAGTTTACAGCATGGAGGATTATTTATTGACTTATGTCATCAGTTTACAATATGGAAGTAATATTTGTTGACCTATGTTATAAGTTTACAATACGATGAGGTTGATCTAGGTTATCAGTTTACAATTGAGAGAATATTGACCGAGGTTTATCATTTTCCTTTTGTGAGTAATTCGCATGTTGACCCGAGATGTTTCCGGAGACATTAAACTACCCAACTACATTAACTACCCAAGAGGTATTCTTAGCATAATAACCCTTGTTTCTACCATCACTCTAGATTCTAATTATAGCTCTACATTCAATTAATGAATTTATGTTAAAATTGATTCCAATTGTCTATTGTTCCTAATATATACTTTCTGGTAACAAGTGTAAACCAGACTGAAAGAGTTAAAATCATTGAAGAGATTGTAAAGAGGTTTTCGAAATTCTCTATGCTTATTGGGGACACTGATAATAGCATCAATCTGCACCATTCTAATCGTCAGTTACGCGTCTTCTGTTAATGATGTCCAAGAACCTTTTGCGATAGTGACATAAAACACTTAATTTTGATGGCATCGTAATATGCACTGAATTAATCCATGGAATTAACCAGTCGAAATTGTACGAAGAGAATGGAAATCAAGCAATATATAGTACACAGGCATTCAACTCAACACCCATACACATCTCAGTCTCCAACAGTCACAAGTTTATAGAACCAAATTTATCAATACTTCAATTCATTACAATATTACGTTTCAAAGTCAAGTCAGCGGAAAGCCAAAGATAGTTATTAAACTTAACCTTTGGCGAAAATAAGCAACAAAACTATACCTTTCGAAATACAGACTGTCTTTACTTCCAGATGTCGCATTATCATTTGGTAAATTGATATGGATAGCTGTGATTGATCTCTAATTGATCAGCTAGTAATTATGACATGAACTGTATCCGTTAAAGGTGCGGGTTTTTTTTAAACCTATATTATTTAAATCAGATCTGCCAAATCCAAATATATTCGGAGAGATAGATATTTTTAGCAGTTCAGTTATACCATCATTCCTCTCCTCAGTTCTATCAAAGATTTTTTTAACAAAACTGATCTCTTGTCGGCTATATAAAACTGCGGGCGAAGACAAAAGTTCAAGGGTCACAAAGTCACGTAATTCTAAACAAAAAGTTGTGATGATACCCTATACTACCCTACAGTCATCGTAGGTGTGGAAAATCCCTATTAAACAGGGCCTATAATTTCTGACTTTGTTTCGGACTAGTCATATATAAGTTTAAGGTTTTTAATTTTTACATTGTAAAGATCGTAAATTAATACTGCTGGTCAACTAAAGACATTGTTAATTAAATGACCGCTGGATACAATGACCTCAAGGGACACAGCTTGAAATGTGGTTCATATTGTCTCTGATACTAATTGTTTCCAGTGTATCCTAAGATCAATTAAGAATGTCACAAATATTTAATCATATTTAGAAACCACTTCCTTATCGATTAACTCACGAACTTCCACCACCAAGCCAGTTGTTTTCGAATGTGTCCCCAAATGGTGTCAACGTGAAAACGATGTCCCCAAAGTAATTTCGAAAGTGAAACTAGGAATAGGACACGAGGCACGGTCTCTGGTAGAATGGATTAGATAATGCTGAAAATAATTCTCCAAGTACTCAGACAATGTTAGACAAGCCGCGTATAGAATGGAGTTGATAATGCTGCAAATAATTCTCCAAGTACTCAGATAATGTTAGACAAGCCTTGTATAGTGTAGTCATATGAGATGCTCTACATTGTAGTTGGGTCATTTCTTTAATAGTCTGCGACACATAAAATGTCTCCAAGAAAAGTGCAAATGTCCATACTTGGGAACATATCCCCCTGATTCAAAACCTACAACCTTAGAAGGAGAAGGGAGGGTTTGATTCTCATTTCTCATTTCAAAATCCACCAATCAAATAAATATTTGTGTAAAACAAACCAATAGTATTACAGGCGAAGTGGGTGAGGGCTGTAGTCTTTCAACAGCCTAAGGCCACGGATAGTGGTCATGAAATTGTCGGTCAGACATTAGAATAGATAGAGACTCGCACGTCACTGGACATTGTAGCAGTAGAAGATTCTTGCTTTTATTCATATCAAGTAACTTTAAACAATCTACTAATCTAGATGTACAATGGAACGTCACGTTTCATTATTGATATTTTAGCATCGTCCAATATTCTGACAAATAATTCCTTAGTCCAATGGGACTCGTGACGAATCTTAAAGACAATCAGGTTCTCTCAGGCTTTGGCAAATGCATGTTAAACAACTATCTCATACTCGAATATAGTTTACAGTCGAACAAGATGATTTGTGTACCTTAAGGGACGTTCTAATTGATGGAAAACAGTTAACTCATCCCCACATCAATTTGACCTTTGACTTTGTAAACTATGTATTTGAACAATGCTTATATTTACATTTGCATACAAATTTCTAACAATGGTATCGTTCGATCACGTTCGATAAATTTGATGGTGTTTCTGATTATGGTTCGGTGCATTTTCCACATATTTATGTAAAAGAAGAAGAAAAAAAACGGAACTCGAAATGATAATTCTGTCGTATTGGTAATTGGTAATTTGTGGACAGTTCTGGAGACACTCAAAACTGTTTTATGATTGCTGCCACTCATTCGGTACAGACAATGTATTTTATAGACTCTATGGTTTGAACAGACGATCACATCTGTGGAGACCTCTCGTCAATGGAAAATAAGAAGACTTCCTTCATTAGTCAACATGTTTATTCCGCCATCACTAACCGGACTATCTTACCCCATCACTCACTCTCCTATTCATACACACACTTCTCTAATACCTAATAGACATACCAAATAAGGTTTTTCACACCTCCCCCCTAAGTTTAAATGTCTCCTGACATTTCGAATTCAAATCAACATAATGTAATATTTAGTACAGTAAAATAAATATATTATTCAAAACAAATATGCTATAACCTTTCTTTGATTATTACTTTTCATTAAATTAAATTTAAATGACATCCCCTGCCCCCTTAGAAACACCTAATAAGTCGATGGGTCAAAACGTACTTTAGGTTTTGGTATTCTGGAAGAACGTCTCGGATTGATGGTATGTTCAGCATCTACAGAAGGTTTTAATATGGATACGGGTTTAGGTTCAAGTGCTTTGGTGGATTTTAGATCATTTTGTTTAGCATCACGAATATCAGCTGGTTTTAAGTTTTTGAAGTGAACTACAACTTTATGATTAGACTTGGGATCTAGTATTTCGTAAGTGACATCGCCTAAAACACTGATTACTTCATATGGGCCTTTCCATCTATCAGCAAATTTCTTTGATTCTCCTTCATTGTAAACCATTCTACGCAAATATACTTGATCTCCAAAATTATAGGCTTCTCCTCTTACTTTTCTATCAAACCAAATCTTTTGTCGTTCAGCTGCTAATTTAGTATCCCTATTCACTTCTTCAAAAACAACTTTTAAACGATCTCTCAAATTTTGTGCATAAGAGTCAACGGTTTCGGGATTTGTGGATGTATTTGTTCCAAATAAAACATCAATAGAAGTTCTCGGAATCCTTCCATAAACAAGCATTGCAGGGACATGTTTTGTGGTTGCATGTTTTGTTGAATTGTAAGCTAAACAAATGAGAGGAATATATTTGTCCCATTCAACTATTTTACCTTTAGCACATTGTTTAACCATTGCAGACAACGATTCTGTGATTACTTTATTGGAACGCTCGACCTGTCCATTAAAACTTGGAGTATAAGGAGGATTTTTGGTTTTGCGAATGTGTAACATCTCACACAAATCAGTAATAAGCTTCGACATAAATCATGCACCTTGGTCTGTATGTATCACTTCAGGGATTCCAAAGTGTGGTATAAAACGATCGATAAGAATTTCAGCTACTGTTTCTGCTTCTTGATTAGGTACAGCATATGCTTCTAAATATTTGGTAAATTTACACTGGAGAACTAAAATGTATCGTTTGTTTCTTGGTAATGGACCTTGGAAATCCATAGATACAATCTGAAAAGGTCGATGAGCTATAACAGGATGAAGAGGTGCGTTTAATCCTGGTGTTGGTGATTTTCGTAGGGAACATATCGAACAAGGTTTACAATAATCTTTTACATCTTTGCGCCATCCGGGCCAGTAGAACCTGTGTCTTATTTGGTCGATTGTGCGTTCTTCACCTAAATGACCCGATGTCGGATTGTCATGTGCGACTTGAAGAACATCAGCTACTAGAGATCGTGGAATGATGATGAGTAGTCCTTCATTACGTCCATCAGGAGTTTCGTCTTTCTTGTATAAGATACCTCTCTTAACACGTAAACAGTCTCAGATACGAATATATGGTTGTAAAGATGGTGGTGGTTTCAAAGGTTTTGCAGTAGTTTTAAGTATGATTTGAATAACATCTTGAATTAGAGAATCTTCCTGTTGAGCTTCCTCAACAACTTGACTTGACAGTATGGAAACAAAATAGTCTTTGGGTTTTTCGATGGCTTTAACAGAAAGAGAAGAACTTTTAGTTGCTGGTTGTTGTCTGACTGGAATGCGCGACAAGGCATCGGCATTTCCGTTATGTTTTCCCGGTCTATACTGAATCTCATAGTCAAATTCTTCAAGATCTAAACTCTATCTTGTTAATCTTGAATTTTCACTTTTAGAGGATTTGAGATAAACCAATGGTTGATGATCGGTTAAAAGATAAAATTTCCTTCCAAGAAGATAAGAGCGAAATACTTTAGTAGCCCAAACTATAGCTAAACATTCTCGTTGAATGGTTGAATAATTGCATTCTGCTGAAGATAGCGATCTGGACGCGTAGGCTATGGCATGTTCTTTTCCTGAATGATATTGGGAAAGTACTGCTCCAATCGCAAATTGAGAAGCATCCGTTTGTAAATAAAAATCATTGGAGAAATCCGGAAATTTTAGTATAGGTTCAGTTATCAAGCACTGTTTGAGAGTTTGGAAAGTTTATCACTCCAATAAAAATCAACGTTTTCTGTGTAAGCAAAGTAAGCGGTTTACTTATTCCGGCAAGGTTTTTAATAAATCGGCGGTAATATCCAGCTAATCCGAGAAATGATTTAATTTCAGTCACATTAGTAGGGCGTGGAAAATTAACAACTGACGAGACTTTATCCGGATGTGGTTTAATTCCAAATTGAGAAATCTGGTGTCCCAAATATTTAATTTCTGATTGTGCAAATGAGCACTTGTTGGGTTTTAGTGTTAAATTAGCATCACGAAGTCGATCAAACACAATTTTCAAATCACGAAGGTGGTCCTTGAAATTTTTGGAGTAGATAACAATGTCATCTAAATATAGTACACAAATTTGCCATTGGAGGCCCTTTAAAACCAATTCCATTAATCGCATGAAGGTTGCCGGTGCGTTTACTAGTCCAAACGGCATGCGACGAAATTGATAAAGCCCACCATCTGGTGCGGCGAATGCACATTTCTGCATCGAAATTTTATCCAATGGGACTAAATCAGTACTAAGATCAATAGTACTAAATATTGTAGCACCTGAGAGACTATCCAAAGTTTGATCCACTCGAGGTAGCGGGTAAGCGTCTCTACGAGTTACTTTATTAAGTTTGCGAAAGTCTATACAAATACGAAATGTTGAATCTGGTTTTCTGGCAAGGACAATTGGGAATCGCCACGGACTGTCTGACTCTTCTATGATGCCTTGTTGTTTCATATCCTGAATTTGCCGCGACATGTCATCTCGTAAATGAAATGGAATTCTTCTTACAGGAACTGAAATGGGACGACTGTCACCCGTGTCAATCGTATGAAATCTTTTCTCAGAATATCCCAATCGTTTACCAGGTTCCATAAATATATCCTGATATTCTGTAAGTAATTCCTTAAGTTGATTACACTGTTTTTCTGTAAGGGTGTTTGTATTATTTACCATTGAAGATGCTTCAAAATTTTTCTCTGTATTTGAAATAGGTTGTTTGGTTGAATGCATGGTCTGATGAGAAACTAATCCTTCAGATACATTTTCGATTTTATCAATGGTACAAGCCCATGCTATTGGTTCATCTTTATGTAGTGATATTTGTGGCTGTTTTGTTTTTGACATTGGTTAGAGTTCTAGCAATCATAATGTTTGTTTTCTCCGTGACATTACAGTTAGGTTCAAGAATAACATCGTATATTATCTGCTTATTCGTATTTACAGTCACTGGTAAAATTAATTGTTCACTGGGTTGAATGTTGACATTGCTACTGAGAGCTACTCTTGAAACAGTTGGAGCGCGAGGATCATTTGTTACTGGTACAGAAATATCACCTTGATTTGAGCAATGTATGATAACTTGACGTTTGGCATAATCAATTGAAATGTTGTTTTTCACAAGAAAGTCTCTACCCAATAAACATCGTTCAGTTAAACTGTCTACAATATAAAAAGGGTGAACATCTTGTAGTCCATGGAAATCGACGATTAAATCTCGGTGAATAGCGTTGAAGTCTTGGTGATTGTTGTCTGTTTCTGGAGAAATCTTCGCAGAATTGGCGTTGTTCTGATTGATATCTATTCTGAAAGTTATCCTGAGGGCTACTCCTGAAGTCAGTACGGCGTCTATCTTGTCTGTCATCTCTTCTTGATGTTCGATCTTCAGTTCTGTGATTATAGTTGTCATCACCTCGTATACGTCTTCGTTGGTAACGGTCTTCACGTCTATCTCGCCTGTATGTATTACGAGACTGTTGTTCATCAGAGTCATAGCTGGTGTTTTGCCTGGACCTAGCACGGTTTCTATACCATTGTTCGTCTGGCGATTTTCTTCTAAAATCAGGCTCAGGAGGCCTATCAGTATATTGACGGGTATCTTCAGCTCTCGCTATAGTCGAAGCTGCGGCTGCATGTGAAACTGATTCCATTTCATCTAATTTACTTTTAGTTTTAGCAATATGTATTATCTTTTCTAAAGATTTCAAAATAGTGTCATTATGTTGAGAATGTTCATAGATATATCGTTTTACTTTTTCCGGAATAGTATTCATAAATCGATCTATCACAACTGTTTCTATCACTTGCGGTTCGAACTCATAATGTTCTCGGGCTAAAATTCTTAATCTAGCCGCATATCCTTCATACGTTTCATCATATGTGTTTCATTAAACAGAATACCTTTTGTATGTTTATGTAACGGTCCAATAAATGTTTGTTTTAACATCTGAATAATTGCGTCATAGTCCGATTTAAGTGCATCGGGCATAATTTCCCAGTTAGTTTTAGCATAGCCTTCCAACAATAATGATAACACTTTACCCTTCTGTCCGTCATACAATGGATTATCTAAAGCTCTTTGGACTTTAGTAAGCCATTCTTTTAAAAATATTTCAATTTGCGGTTCGTTTCCGTGAAAAGTTCCCGTGAACTCTTTAACCTTTCCGTATATATAAAGATGATCCCTATATATCTGTCAGTCACTACGTCTAGATAACTGATCTGATAGATCTTGAACTTCATTTCGTAAACGATGCTGTTCATTTTCGTATTGTTCAACAGTGCCTTTATGTTGGCTTTCAAAACGTTTTAAAGCTTCGTCAATTGTTTGTTGTCTGTCGTCATCTATCTTAAATGTCAATTCCGCTAATTCTCTGCGTAATTTTTCGACTTCCTTTTTCGCCATAGTTAATATTGAATATTAAAAATACTAAGGAATAATATATGAAAGGCTATAACATAAAAATCACAATACAATAATATCCTACACGAATAACAATATCATCAACTTAATATCAACAGTAAATAATGATAATATACATTGAATGCATACGTCATAAATGTTCAGATATCAAACTCAGCAAAAACAAAAATTGAGGGATTAACAACACCTGACCTTGTAGTTTACTGTGCATACAATGAGTCTTATTTCGTAATTGGATTTTTAAACTTTAGTCTTTTAGATAACGATGCTTTTACTATCGACTGACAGAAAACAAATACAATTTTATGTTTGCAATTTCAAAGTACAATAAACATTACACTTATAAATATAATCTATATAGGCACACACATGCATACTCCATTCAGGGTAAGATAGCACAAAATAAAACATTTAACATGAGTTACAAAACTATTTTGGTAGCTATATAATTCAGGCACTGTCACTGAGTGAAAACACACTGAAGTTTATGAAAGAATCTTCGAAACAAGTATAGTCATCCACTAATAGCACTTTACTTCACCGGCGTAATGTCAAATCTGTAAGCCACTGAGTGGGTCCCACAAAAACAAATTATCTACAAGTTCATTGAAAACTGTTCTCTATCTCGTCTGCAAGGTTCTTCTGCTTCCAGAAATCCACCACTACTAATACTAGAAAGTTAGTTTGCCCACAAAGGATAAACATCGGCCTACCAATTTAAGCTCAGAAGATCCAAAACCATAATATTTATTTACTGTCGGTATAATGTTTTAAAAATGTAATTTGTGGCATCTTACGGTTGCGTCTCAAGGAAATCACGGTTCCATCGTTTTGAAAGGTCTGTTGTGGTCCTGTAAAGTCAACTATCGGTGACGCCAATTATGTGGAGACCTCTCGTCAATGGAAAATAAGAAGACTTCCTTCATTAGTCAACATGTTTATTCCGCCATCACTAACCGGACTATCTTACCCCATCACTAACTCTCCTATTCATACACACACTTCTCTAATACCTAATAGACATTCCAAATAAGGTTTGTCACAACATCATTGAGACCTAACCCAGGTACATCCAAAACATTAGTTTTACAAACTAAATCTTTTACAGACAGATTCAATACTAGACTGTAGAACATTACTCACAAAGACTTCGGAATAACCCTTATTTAATGAATACAATAAATCACTTAAATAAATAAATTGTTTTGATGGCAAGTCATTACCTAGACTAGAGCATAAACATAAGGAACCAGAGCATCAACCCTTTACAGTTTCAGAGACATAGAGATAGTACCATCAAAAGGTTTATCCCTTTTCTGAACAACACACGAGGGTAATATCCCTCTTCTGAACATCATACAAGGACATTATCCTTTTTCTGAACAACATATACGAGGATAGTATTCCTTTTCTTAACAACATACGAGGGTACCATTCCTTTTCTGAACAAAAGATGAGGGCAATATCCCTTGTCTGAATAACGTATAAGGGTATTATCCTTTTTGTGAAAACAACAAACGAGGGTAGTGCCCCTTTTGAATACAAGGGACGAAGGTTTAACCCATTTTCTATCTAAGAGACTAGGACATAACCAATTTTCAATACACGAGACGAGCATTACCCTCCCTTCAATTCAAGATACTCTAAAGTTGCCCTTGTCAGTAGGGCTAGTGGGGAATACCTTATAATACACGAGATGAAGGCATTTTCCGTTTTTAATACAAGAGACGAGTCATTATCCACTTTGAGGGTTTGTGAAAAGTACTCTGCTAATACGTTGAGAACTTTACATGACAATATTTGCTTGCGTCGTACAAATTTTTGTAGTGGATTCTAATCTCGGTAACCTTGAATAAGTCATATTTTCTCATTATTTCAGTCGCCCCAGCTGTAAATGGGTCTGATAATCCGGGAAAGATTTATGCCAAGAGTTATGGCTGGTAAAAAATCCTTGTGAACGCAAACTCCTATCCTTCTTATAAATTGCGATTTCTTTGCTGAACAATAGGCGAGGGTATCTTCCTATTATCCTTTTTAATACAATAGACGAGGTCATTACACGTATTTAACACGATATGCGGTGTTCTCCGAATGGTTAGTACTAATCTTCAATCTGTAGTTCGTAAAGAAAAATAGCCCCAAGGATTACTTACTGTTATTTAGTTCCCTATTAAACTAAGTACATAATCAGAATTAAGTCAATACAAAGAATTACTACTTGATAATTTGCCTCTCGCTCACTTGTACATAAATCGAATCTGATTCCAGACTACCAGAAACATAATTTTGGGGCACAGAGAAACTGCTCATAAATTTCAAATATTTTATGTCAAGGACCCAATTATCAATGTATTTCCAGAATTTTTTATGGCCGAGAACATGATTTCGCCCACGACGAAAATAAACAGAGCATAAGTTGAAAAGATAAAATGTTTCAACAATTTTCAAAGAATCCGTGAACTACTTAAACAATGTGGTCATTTACTTTCAAATGATCACCTTTGATTATTAATACTTTAAGGTTTCAAAGTGAGCAAGATGTCTCACGGGAGACAAGAAAATTGATGTCCGTCCATTTGATTTTAAATGTATCATTGCCTTAAAAGGGAAAACTAGAGCAAAGCCTTAAAAGCATGCTGTCACTAATTGGTTTTGACTGTTGCTCTCATGCCAGAACCTTCACCTTAATCAAAAATACCCGCTGGCGTTTAAGACAGCAAGTATATTATAGTTGCCGAAAATTTGGCGCAATGGAACTATCGGAAACAATCTAATCAACATGATATTACGATTTCGTTTCTTTTAGATTTTCATATATTTAGCGCCACTGTTGTAACCTCACAATTTTTCTACCAGTTGCGTTTTAATGACGACATATTTAAACAATCAACTTCGAAGCATGTTGTTTGCAATTGTACCCGCACTTTATTTCTAACAATTTTAAATTAAAATGATTTTAATATGTTTTTGCCCCAAAATATGTGTCAGAATGCACCAAATCAATTCGATTTTTCGAAAATTTTCTTGTAAGAGCCCTTTCAGGCGCTCTATGAAAGGGTTGTGACTGACTATGGCGCTTCCACCGAGTTGAGCCTCGACCGTTGTCCTCCCATTGAATCCCTTTTTGTACCCATATTGTCGAGAGGCTAGCGCCGCTAATACTAAACTAATTAAAGTCTATACATGTGTACAATGGTGTTGATTACTCAAAGATGAATATGCTGAATTGAGAACAGACCTATCCAAGGGCTCATGCATTATTCACTGACGAATTCTTTACGAGTTGAACTCGAGAAGTAAATCAATGAATATAAATTCCTTGGGAATTCAAAGTTGTCTTAGTTTAAATCAATTGTTACATGTTAAATGAACAATATGTCTTAACGGTTTTTTAATTGTTGATTCAGTGCTCTATTATACATATAAAACTTGTATGTATAATATTCTCACATCAAAAGCTTGATGATATCATCGAAGTGAAAGAGTTGGCATTATATTTTGTGTGTTCTTTTCTGAATGACAGACAGTAAACAAGGCAGAGTCACAGTAATTATCATGCGAGAAGCAAGCATGGTCATAATTTCCTCCGCAATCCGTATTAGACAGTATTATAATGGAAGACATAATCGCCATTCTTGACGATCAGAAACGTTTATCTGCTTTTATAAGAATTCCTTACTAATTTCTCCAATGACTTTATCATTTCACAGTGCAAACAATTGAATGGTTCTTTAGATATTGGCCTTCCAAAAAAGGTGTCTCTTCTGTATGACTTCATTTATTCTGATCTAAAAATTCTTCTCTTTGGTTTTTGAAAACATAAACCAAACTTTAGCTAAACGTGTATTATCAGATTTTAAAGATCACTATATCGAAACTTATTCAGTTCTGGGTATTTAAGTCCTTGTGGAGTTCAAAATAAGGAAAGCAAAGTATTTAATCTCGTTTATAATTTTGGGAATTTCAGGTGCTCCTGAAGATGTGGATATTATGGTAAAATCTCTTCTACCAAACTTACCTCTACCAAGAAGATATGATATTCTATCTACTGCAAAGGTGCCATATCAACCTTCACGATCAGTGCCACCTTAAGCATAAGTGCCACTTTTAACATCTCCATCATCTTAAAAAGTGCTTACTTCGTCATCATTCGTCATTATTTACTTTAATTTAGACTTCCTCTTTGTTTGAGATTCCATTATCAAATCCTTTCACCATACACGTAATCTGATGAAATAGCAGCTGTTATTGAATTACTCATAAACGATGAAAATCTCATTCAGGAAATGCAATATGTCTCATTTATCAAAAAAGGGTAAAACAGAATTTCCGCACTTGGTGAAAGATTCTTGATCGTTCATAAAACCAAATTATTCGCTTTTTACAGAAAATGTTACATAATTTCAGCTTCTTCTAACTCGTTTCAGATTGAAAGCCAACGCTTAGTTGTTAACCGTTTTGTATTCGAAACGATAATTACCATTATTTTAACATAAAGATTGAGACAAAAATTTTGTTACATTATTGCCATAGTTTGAAAATATCTGATTTAATGAACCGACTCGGGTTGTTCATCTCGAAGTTTAGAACCTTTGGGACTGTATTTCTGTGGTTTCCTCGCCGGGAAATGTCGATATAAAGGAAGTTGACCGAAAGCAATGCCCTTTACAGTCATTGATTATAAAGCGAACTTAAGTTCTGTTCAATATTATTCACAATTATTCAGATTAGCAAATCTGTCTCTGCTTACCATCGTCTAAACTGAATCTTATTATAAATGTAGAAAACATGTTTGTCTAATAAGTCAGATCCAGGTAGTCTTTGAATGACAAATTATAAGGAAGATATCTCCACGAAAATGCTGTTATTTACATGACTGGATACAGGAAGTTCTTAACTATCATATTTAGTCAAAACCAAACTCTTCACTTAAACTCTTAATAGAAACCTTTTATATTCTCTGGAAGCAGACATTTTGGAAA